ACCTTCTTTTAATACGTAATTGGTGTTTTAACAATTTTCTACTTTTAAATCCTGACAAAACAAAACTCGTAGTCTTTGGAAGCCGACAACTACTTGCCAAACTCCCCGACTTCAAAATATCTCTTCTAGGAAAAGATCTCGCTCTTACATCTTCGGCCAAAGATCTTGGGGTTGTTTTAGATCCGCAACTAACGTTTGATGACCATGTTCTAAAAACTACGTCATCTTGTATGTCAAGCCTCGCACAAATCAGCCGGGTTAAACATGTTCTTGACCGTAACCAACTGGTGACAGTAATAAATGCCCTAGTCTTTAGCAAATTACTGTACTGTTCCACAGTGTGGTCGAACACCTCGAACAAAAATATCTGTAGACTACAGTCAGTGCAGAACTTTGCCGCGCGCATTATTACAGGTACCAGGAAATTTGATCATATAACCCCCGCACTAAGAGATCTACGTTGGTTTCCAATTAAACAAAAGCTGTTCTTCAGCGACGCTCTCATGGCATTTAAATGCATGACTGGTCAAGCTCCACATTACCTCAGCGATCAATTTACAACAAGAATTGCGGTCACCGGGCGCGTGACCCGAAGTTGCCAATTATTAAACATCCCCTTGTATAAGTCGAGTACCGGACAGAGAACATTCCACTACCGCATGGTGCACATTTGGAACAATCTAGACAGTACTTTTAAAACTGCCAAATCGATTTCTACTTTTAAATTTTGTCTGAAAAATAAGTTGATTACTGACTTTTTAAATAGCACGTTATGATAGTATTTTAGTATCTTACTAGTATCTTATTTTATTTTAACTTAAAATATGCATATTGTATAGTACGTAGTGAGAATATTTATGATACGATTAATTCTTAAATAGGTATGTTTATATTGCTTTGTTCACCGCATTCTTTCCTTGTAATCGAATTGTTAACTCCTTCTCTTATCTTAATTAGTTTTTCTTTTTTTTTTTTTTTTTTTTTTTTTTAGTCGCATTGTCACTGAAAAGCCCCACCAGGGAGTGTCAATAAACTATTGTATTGTATTGTCACCTTCTTCATGTATTTCGGAAATAGCTTGCTTGATTAGTTGTGAAATTTCTTAGTTTGTTACGGCAGCAAACCGGGAAGGCATTTGGCTCGCAACCTAAGCGAGTTTGGCGTCGCTCGCTCGGAGGAACTGGAGGTGAATCAGTGAATAGTGCAGGATATTCACTGATTGAGTAGCCAATCAGAGCTCCCGAAAAACACTATCCACTGTTTTAGTATATACTAAAGAAAATTATCCGAGAGAGTGTTTTTGAGAAAAAGAAAAAGCAAACTGTGTTAAAATTTAATCCCTGGTTAGCGTTAACCGGCGTTCGAACAACTGGACCCTGAAGGTAGCCCAGTAATCAAAGTACCAATCGATCACTAGTTGAATAGGTGACTTCCGGGTTCCAAAAACACTCACTTTCAAAATGAGGCCAAGTGCACAACCTTTCTGGTGAAAATGAGTTATATTTGCATGAGACTGAAAGATGATTTCTATATCAAAGGCTGAGCACTTAACCTCGTTTTGAAACAGAGGCCCGCGGGAACTCGGAAATGGCCTATTGTAATTACTCCTGGTATAGAGTCTCCCCTATTCAGGTATAGTTTTGTTCCTTGCAGATCAAATGAGAGCAAAGCTTACCCATTGACTCTGGGAGATGACATTTTTGACATTTATTGTGTCATGGCCGAGGCTCCTACGGAAAAAAACAAGTGCGGAGTTGGTGGATGGACGCTGGTTATGAAGATTGATGGAAAAAATGTATACGTACTTCCAACATTGCCCATTTTATTAATGGTAATTGAACTGAGTGGAGGGCAATTTGGTCTGAAATCATACCCGTCAGGGGCGTGGCCAGCTTTTCGACTAACAGTAGGCCTGGCTGACTTTGACTTCCACATATCGTGAAAATTGCACGCATGACCAGTCCGCACTGACCTCGCCAACACTTTGAGCTTAAAGCTTTTTAGCTCACCCCAACAACGCATAATTTATTACAAACGGTAGAGTGACCAAACCAAAAATTTGTAGGCCCGGGCCTACAGGTCTATGGGCTGGCTACGCCTGTGTCCGAAATTTCAAAATTGAAGGAGCGAGCAGCACGAGTTCCATTTGAAAGCACAAGACATTTAGTATGATTTCGGACCTAAATTGCAGGATACGAAGTTCAATTGCTACTTAATTACAGCCATTTTGAAATCGCAGAATTTAGTCGGTTCCAACTAGTATACTTTTACTGATCAAGTAGCCGGTTTGTTGAAAAGCAGAAACAAAAAGGCTTTTGCATCTCATTTTGCATTCGAAACAGAAATGATGTGATACAGAGCGAAAAAGGTGCGATTTAAAACAGAAAAGATGCGATTTAGAACATGAATTACGCGATTTAGAACATTCGTGAATAAATCACACTGCTGAGAGCCTATCAGATTGGGATCACCAGTGATTTCAAAATGGGTATAATAAATCATCAAGTTTATTATGATAATTGAAATAAGACCGTATTTTTTTTATAGCAGAGTGCACATCTAAATTGTAATCTCAGTGAAGAACTTGAGTATTTTATTTAGACTAGCGACATACGCTGTGTGACGTTAGGCTTTTAGGTTGTTTTTCGTCTTTAACTCACGAAATGCGCGGCGACGTGCTGGATAAATAGACGGATAATCAACGGGATAGCTCGAATAACTAAAGGACGGAATGGGACTTAAGCTCGGTAGAACACTGACTTCGCTGGGCTGAGTGGTAACGTCACGAACAACGCCAGAGGTACTCTGGGTTGTTAGTTACTTGTCCGTAGAGCGAAGCAGAAATCACTTCAACAAAACTGGAACTTTTCAAATATGTTTAATCTGACAGCTCAAGTAATTCAACTTGGTTTACTTCTCTTGACCTAAGTTAATTTAGCTCTGTTGGTGCGGTAAGGTAATTGGTGAGGTAATTCGTAGAGGTAATTCACAGTGGTAACTCGCAGAGGTAATTCGCACAGGTAATTCGAATTGTACAGTGTACAAGCTTGCTTATATGTGGTCTAGATATGTATACTGTTCAAATACTATGAAAACAAGCTCTTACAAAGGATGGTAAAGCAGCTGAGAACACTTCAATTGCTCTAGATTATTGTGCTGAACATGACCAATACCCTTCTAGATGGTGTTTACACTCAGTTTAAGCAATAGAAAACGTTTTCCGTGTTTGCATAGCCTGATATAAACACGAGAGGGGTTTGGAGAATTCGAGACAGTTATGCAAACCCGAGACGAAGTCGAGGGTTTGCATAACTGTCGAGAATTCTCCCAACGCCTCGAGTGTTTATATCAGGCTAAGCAAACACAGGAAAAAAGTTTTCTATTGCTTTTATAAAATAACTTTCCCAAGAAAAAAACGCAAAACTCTTTGTATGGCACTGATTAAAAGAGAAATTCTTACCAGTCGCAAAATCTTGCCCACGAAGTCTTGCACGCGTAATCAGTTCTTGTTTTGCAAAAAGATGCTTTGCAAAATACGGACCTTCCTCGCTTAAAATGTCAGCTTAAGCGAAGAAAAATTGACCCACTTCTTTTTAACGATTTTCCATGTTTCAGCCGTCGAAGGATAAGTAAAGTAAACTTGTCGAGTTTTGAACGCGGAAACTTTTCAAATTCATGCTTGCGTGATTAGCGCGCGAAAAGCCAAACAACTTGACGCCACAACCATGTTTACATACTCTCATGCAAACACTCCTCTCGGCCAATCAGAGCGCGCGTACTATCTTAGTTATTTTATAAAAGTTCATAAGAGACAGAACGTTCAAGAAACTAATGCTTAAGCACCTTGCGTTTTTCCACCAAAGGTTATGCATCAGTCAATTCCACCTGCGCCCACCCCCCGGGCTACTGCTGGCATTTGTCCGCCTTGTCAGTCCCGGGGGTGGGGCATTTGCAAATTTTGCACTGTCCGGGGGCCGAGCATTTGCCAACCTCCGGGCCATTCCCGAGCTTTTGACACGCACGCGATTTCCTATCAGAATATAACTACACAGAAGGTTTTACTGGAAAAAATGCAGATTTGCTCATCCTTCAAGGACAGGAATAAATTGTAGAGAGTTGTAAAGGCATGTTCTCGATTTTACAGGTATATATGCATTTCTTCATTGCGTATCAAGCCAGAATTACGTAGCGAAATTTGAGCTATCTATGTGAATCAACGTTTTTTGGTTATTGAATCAAATTTCTGTTTATATTATTTGACGAACATCCTTTCATATTTATAAAACTATTCATAACATATAACTTTACAGCGCTCTATTAATTTTTATTTCAATAATTTTATATCAATACTAAGACCATAAACTGTTGCATGTCGTCGCGGCGTGAAGTCTTAATTAGAATCCTCCGTGCTATTACAAAGGAAGACGTTAATTCAAACAAAAAATCGCACATTAAAATTCTTAAAATGGTAGTATTTGACTGTGCGATCAATGAAAAATGTTGCAGTGTTGACGGAGGACGGGGCATTTGCCATCTGTTTTCGTCCCCACCCCGAGGGATTTGACAGCTCAAGAATCCCCATCCCCGGGGTCTGACCCCCGGGGGGGGGGGGGGCTGGGCGTAGGGGGAATTAACTGATACATTAATCACGAGCGGAACTTCTTACTGCTAATGAATCTTGGTCTGAAAACAACTTGTAACACGGCTGAATAAACACTCATCTCTGCGGGGTTTTCTGCGATCTTAAAGGTCATTGTCTTAAAATCATATTCGAAATGCTAAAATGATAACTCTAATAAAACTGAGTTCCGTTCTAAAGATAACAATGAAATATCGGCTGTGACAACGGTATATCTCGGTCAGTGGCACTGAGGTGGTATCCGTCCATCCTGTCGGTCGATAAAATGTACCCACGTCTCAGAAACCACACTGCTATGGGTGTAATGCTCTCTCCTTTATCGGACTCCTCATTGACACTATGCAATTTCTTTTTCCTCTAACAGAATACATTCCATTATGATTCTTCCTTTTGGACGAACAAAGAGGCCTTTAACCTTGACGGGGGGAAGACTGGGTTTGACTCGCAGGAGACCAAGCTTCCCACATACTGGAACACATACTTCACCAAAATCTGCCTCGGAATGAGGGTTGCCAACCAGATCAAGTTTATTGTAATCAACAAGAACGCCAGTTCCCTGCATTCATTGATTGCTGATGGACAATACCGCAGTACTTCACTGGGTCGTGACACGTGGAAGTTGCTAATAAGTCCTCTGGGCTCCTTGCAGGAAAATTGCAACAGGGAAGGATTTAATGCCAGGAGTACGAGACAGTATAATAACAAAGATATGTCCAAAGCAAGAATCGGTATCCTTGGTAACAATGAAAACGACTGCGGTCAATGTCAATCCAGAATCGGATTTGGTACAGGAGGGCTTCACGACAACACCAACACATGTGGAAACGAGGCTACTTCTTCAGCGGCCGATAAACACATCAAGGCCATGGGATACATCTTGGTGCAGTGAGAATAAACAAATCACGTAGGCAATTATGTTCGTAAAATTGTTTCTATACTGTGATCGTATTCTGTGAACAGCATGAGATTTTTTTTAAGTACACTAACCACAAAGCCAGTAGTAGTAAATTTAGAAGTACGAATGAATTATATTAATCTACAAAAACAGAGTTCACGCAGCAAGTATTCAAATACGACGACCGCTGGATTCAAGTGCGTTGGGAAGTTGGGGGGGGGGGGTCCCACGTCTTGTATGCCTTTCAAATGGATCTAGTTGTTATGCAGGCTATCTAGCAAAGAACGGATCAGAGGCATTATCGTCAAAAAGCAGAAGGCGCAGTGTTTTCAACTTTTCAGCATGCCGATATTTAGCCTGCATCATAACACAGGCACTTTATGAGCCAAGCGAGGCAAACGCGGCATTTTGCTCGAGGCGCGAGAAGAGGGGAGAAGAAAAAATAAAGCGCTTGTAACCAGTCCATTGCTCTGACTCTTCCGCTCACCTACGCCCACAAATATTGACTGACGGCAGTGATGTCAAAAGGACCAATGAAAACACGATCCAATACTCGAAAATTGTCACCTTTCTGGGTACCAAAAACGCCGACAGCAGCATAAACCCTAGGAAATAAGAACTACGAGGGAAAAAAATCACCTTCTATAATGCAAGACTCAGTACGTCAAAAATAAAATTTGCTCAGTCAAAGTTTAGTTTATGTCCAAAAACCGCGGTGAGAAATATAGATTGAATACCCGTTTTTCATACAAATTCCAAGGTCACTTTTCAGATTATCACGAGCTTATGAGTCGTGTTTGGCATGTCAACACTTAATTTCAAAAAGTTAGTAAGGCTTTTTCCAAACCCAGTTGGAAGCATTCCAAGAACATCTCTCCTCTTTATATATGAATAAAGCATGTGGAATACATGGAGATTCATGGCCATTGTGTGTTCCAGATATCGATGTTGTGTCTTTTATCTACGCTTTAAGGCAAACGTCCTTCACACACCTAGAAAGTTGAACAGGCCACTTTTCGCTAACTTCTGATTTCTTTAAGGGTATATTTTCATCGTTTGTCATTTGTTTGAATAATTAAATAGTAGATTAAGAGATAGAATAGAGTAGAATAAAATAGAATGAAGTAAGGAAATAGCTTATCTTTTGTCCCGCGATACTCATAGTCACTTTGTTATTGATCGCGATGATTCGATCGCATGCTGGAAGGTCTACATCAGGCGACGGTATCGATTTACTGAGTGGGACTATTAGTACCACCGTGGTTGCTAGCGACTGATGTATCACGAACCTCACTCTCACGGTTTGTAGTGGGTTTCGATCTGAGGCTGTTGGTTGTATCGTTAAAATATGACTTTAAGAGAGGTTGTCAGTGAAAACCAGGCAAAATGTTAAACGGAAGGGGAATATACGTTTATGGACTGCACATTACTGGGAGTTTATATCATATTAACCAATACATACTTCACGCTTATCTAAAATAACTGCAGGGATCAACTTCGTCCCTGGGGCGCTTTTCCCTGATGTTAAAACAAGGATATATTCGACGATGGTATTAAAGCCACCTCATTAATATAAAAATAGCGTTTGTTTCTGGTTTGCGTATTGAATTACGTTATGACAGTCACAATATTTAGCATCATTTTTGATTAATTATAACATTTAGTTATATTTTATGAAATTAGCGATAGTTGTTAAAGTAATTCAGGCCTTTCACAAATTAAATAAAAACAAAACATGAATTTAAATTGACCAAATGATAGATGTTGTTTTTAGTAGTTAACTTGTAGTATGTTGTGCTTTCTGATTATCCTTTTATCACATATTTTCAATTTTCCCATTTATTCTTAATTGTTTTATTGAAATTTTACTTTTGAAGGGGGCCTCAGAAACCCCCTCATTTGATAATGATAGCAGATGTTAAAAAGCCCGGTCTGAATAATTTCCCGTTTAATCTTCGTCTTCATCATCATGATCTCGTTCCACATGACCTGTGCCGTCCATCTGATGTATTTGGTGGCCCCAGAACAAACGCTCGGCTATTTGTTGAGAGCAGTCTCCCATAATCATGACGACATAGACTAGGGCCTTAAATGACGAGTAAGAGATTTAATCGTTTTAACTCTCAATAGATCAGAAGTGTTAAATTGAACAAACTAACCTCAACGAAATGCTCATTTTTGGTACGTAGGCCTCTTGGACATTGTTCTTTCAGAATATCCTGACAAATCCCATAATTTCAGAAATTTAATTTTTATGACGTCATCACTCTTAACTCTATTCTCAGACACAATCCCCTTTACCTCGTTTGTGAACCTTCGCATCTAAAGTTTAAAAAGGAAGGTAAACCAACAATATGAATTAATCATACGTTCACGAACGAAATTTTATTAGGGTAAAAATTATTTAAAAGAAAGCAGCAAACGTGAGATTTGCCAGGAAGAGGGTTAGAGACAACGCTGAATTCATTTGTTGAAAAGGACTCGTATATTATTATTGTCATTTACTTACCATTGGTGTAGAAAAAAAAAGCGAAAAGTCACTACTTAAATGTAGTAGTTTTGCTCTACGGCAGAGTATCTCGGAGGCTACTTATGTTTCCATTCTTAATGTCCTTGATGTAGTTATGTGAACAGTCAATAAAAAGAAAATGACGACATTGATGTCGTTTACAAAGTAAACGTAAATGATAGATTACGTCTTAAAAAAATAAAATAATAGTAGTTCTGCTCTCCGGTTGGCGGTGCTAAACAAAGTATCTCGGAGGCTACACTTTTCCATTCTGAGTTAATGTCCTTGATGTAGTTCTGTGAACAGTCAATAAAAAGAAAACAATGACTTTGATGTTGTTTACAAAGTAAACGTAAATGATAGATTACATCTTAAAAAAAATAAAATAATAAAAGTAGGAATCAAGAAGATGGGAAAACAGCGAACCACTGGTGAATAGCAGAGTTACCTTTAAACCTTTTAAATCAGGACTCTGCATTAAAGACATACTGGAGGGGTAATCCCTGTTTGTAAACAAATCAAATAATTTTAGTTATTAAAGCATTAAAGTGCTGTTAATGAAAACAAGGTCACAGAAAAATCAAAGCGGCTAATTTCTTAATTTCTTTATGATTAAGACCGCCTTAATACCAAGCTAGAAAGGAACAAACTAACTCGAGGGTTATCAGCTGTAGGTATTGACAATCATTCACAACATCTCTGATAACACATGCTAAAGACTAATTAAGGCTGCAAGGGGACGCAGAATGTCGAATTTGAATGAGCGCAAATTATAGAATACTTACGATAGGTTGATCTCCCTTTTTTACATCCACAATTGTAATCTCCAGGAGGAGTTTTCCTTATTCCGACACAATCGAAATGAAGCCATTTCTTGCATGTCTCGCAAAATATCCAGCTCCTGGTTTTTACTTCCTTTCCGGAAGGTACCGTCTGGAGGGGGGCGTAAGGGGGGTACGAATACCGCAATACCGCACGTGGTAGCGCGAGAATACCGCAATACCGCATCAAAATTTAGCCAAATACCGAAACCGCAGTTACAAATGGGAAAAAGTTGATGTTGTCAATACTTCAAATCCTCCTTTCAAATAGAAATAATACTTTTATGTCACTGTTTCCAAATCAAGGTGCGTCGATGTCAAGCGTACGATAAACATAAGATCATCGCACTCGTTTAGCTTTGTTTATTACATGTATACGTTTACGTAAATGATACAACAGGAGTTTTCTAGTATCACTTTATATATTACTGACCTGGATCATAAACGGACGGAAAACGGTTGACTCTTATGAGGTTGTTTCAGATTCACAATTAACTCAGTTCTGTGTTGAGGGTTTCAAAACGACGACCCGGGCTGCCTTTTGGATTCGAAGGGCACACAGTACAGAAGTACACACTAGCCTGCGTAGCATGGCGGTTTTGGTTAGGCGCGCTAAATAATAAGTCGAAATAAGGCGGGCGCGGGCGAGGAGATTGGGGCGGGAGCTGCTTCGCTGCTCACAGTGGTGCTGCCGACAGAACCATGTAAAACTGCCATGCCCGGGGTGGGGGCGGGGGGGAGGGGGTACTTGGGTTAATATTTGGTTGGTATGTGCCGCTGGCCTCTCAGAGCCCCTACCCCTTACAGTCTATTCTGTGGCCAATTATAGACCCCATCTTAGTCATTTGAACAAATATTTAATTTTCGCGATCCCAACTTCGTCACTTTCTATTTTTATGAATTGACCTTGTTTTAGATTGAATGAAGAACACTTTACTTTTCATCTACAATACAAACATTCTGGTACCTTTGCTAACCGTAAATATGAAGAACTGTCTTACCCCAAAAAGCAGAAAATGCGCGACCCCATTCTAAAAAAAACTCTCTGAAAATGCGACCCCATTATAGTAACTCCAGTCGTGAAAATGCGACCCCATCCAGCGGCACATCCTCATTAGCCTCTTATCAGGAAGTACCCCCCCACCACCAACCCCGGGCTGCTATGCTACGTAGGGTAAGCACACACGAATATTAGTACATTCTATATTCCTGCATGCACAACGAGAAGGACAAGTAGTAATTTTTAGACCACACCGTCTTTATAGATTATCTTTCGACACTACGCAATTTATAACGATCGCACTGACCTCACTATTTGCTGGAATATCTGACTGATCACTTAGTTGACCCTCTGGATCGCTCTCTGTTGTTTGGCGACTGGCACGAAAGTGGTGGTAAGATTGGTATAAAGGAGGTTAACCAAGCTGACTATTCCTACAAGGTCCATGAAGTCATAAATAATGCGACATGTTTACGTATCATTGGATGAAAAAGTTAATGTCGTTAATCATATCAAGTATTAACAGGGGCTCCTGGTATTAACTGAAATTAGAAGCTATACGATTTGTCTGCACTGTTTGCGCAATACAATCCCCGACTGTGAACACAGGTCACGCAGGCTAGCCAGGGAGACCTTTTAGGATTTGTATCCTCTTGTCATGAAAAAGAAGCAGATCACCGCGACACAACGATTTTTTCACCGACTACCGCGGCGTAAAATGTAAACTTACCGCAAACCGCTTGGACTCTGAAAACCGCAATACCGTACTTTGAAATAAAAATTACCGCAACACCGCACCAAAAATGACCCAATACCGCAATACCGCAAACCCTTACGCCCCCCTCCGTCTGGTAAATAAAAGCCTCACACTTCTCACCTTCCTCTTCACCTTCCTCTTCACTCAGTTGTCCTCTTTTTCTTTTTCTCCTGTTTAAAGCAGCGGTGGATGAGGATGCAATGGCTTTTACGGTAGATGCTGAATTGGAGGATGTAGATGGATTATAGAGGCTATATTATAGGTGGTTGATCTTGTTATTCTACGGACTGTAGTTGTTGATCTAGTTGAATAAGATGCGGTAACAGCGGAGGTGGGCCTTGTTGCTGTAGATGTAATTGTGTTCGATGTTGTAACAGAGGAGGTTGATGTTGCTACTCCAGGGTCCAACGACGTTGCTGATGAACTTTGGTTGTGTGTAGTAACAGAGGAGGTTGTTGTTGCTACTCCAGGGGCCGACGACGTTGCTGATGAACTTTGGTATGAGCATACCGAATGAAATCAGTTCTGAGTTCACTCCGCTAAGAGACCAGAGTGGATTATTTATTAGAGAAAGTTTTCGTATTCAATCGTCTCAATATTTGATGGCATTTATGTGCATTAGCGAATGTTCTTAATTCGGTACACATGCACGGCAACCTGACAAAGAAACACAACCATTTTGCTAACCTTTTGGCCGCCTTAACATCAGGTTTAAAGTAGGACGTAGGCCAGTAGCTGATATTTAGGCAGGCATATTAAAACACGAACACACAAAAGTGTTTTCTATAAAGGATCGACAGAGAAACGACTGAAAACAAAGCGGTGAGCGGTGCTTGACTCAACTGTGTCATTTTCTCACTACGTGTATCTTTTACAAGGTATTCACCGCAGGACGTTTTGCTTACACACCCAAACAAATTTCCGTTTTTACAGGCAAAAGGTGTCATTTCCACAGCTCTCGTGGGGTGATTTTCACGTGCACTTACTTGCTTCGCTCTCTCTAAAATCCATATAAAAAATTACAGTGCGATTGCCATGAGAAAAAATATACCTTTTTATCCAGCCAGAACCGGCATAAATTTTTCATATTTTCAGCTAGCGAGGCGCTCATTCAGATTTCCCAGCCAGCTAATTAGCCAATGTTTTTTTATCCAGCTAGCTCAAATTCTGCCTGAAGAGCAGGTATTTTGTCGAGCGGCTCCGTTGGGTACTCCTGTTTGGTTGTGTGTAGTAACAGACTCGGAGGTTGTTGTTGCTACTCCAGGCACTGACAATGACGTACTCATGCCAAGAGTAGTGGTGGTGGTGGCGCTGGTAGGTGATGGGATGGAGGCTGGGTTATTTAGCCTAAAAATAATATCGTCTTTCAACGATATTATTCTTTTTAATGTTCCCGCCTCATAACTAGATGGGTGTTTAAGAGGAATTGAATCCACATTTAACACTTCCAAAGATATCTTATTGTCCTTGATATCTTTATAAGGGACCCTCAAATCCGTCTTGCTGTAGGCTACGCCTGCAAAAACAAAAACAATAGAATCAGCACCGATTCTGGTTTGATCATGACTATTTTGAACAAAAACACACGCAAATGGGACGGAGAACAATAAAGAGAACAACGAAAAAAAAAAAAGTCGGAATAAAGGTAAATTTACTCCTGTAAAGCTCCCTTACTGTAGTACATCACTATTAAACATTATAAAGCATTATAAGTAAGCCTTATTTTAATCGATATTGTTTAAAAAACTGAAAGCCAGTAATATGTTTTGATCAGAAAATGACTCAGTGCATAATATTCTTTGATACTGAAGGTAGTTCAGTGTTTAAGAAATTTTGTTGGCGAGTAGATAGATTGTCATCTGCAATGAAATATACAAAAACTGAAATTTGAGGTTTGTTCGTTCATTGCCCTTGGAAACAGAAGAGCCCGCTCCGCAGAGATTTTTACAGACTTGGTAACTAGAATATCTGTAAAACTGTGAAAGGTTTGAACTTAGGAGTCATTTCAAAAGTGGGTTGAGTTTGATCGTCCTGGTGAACGTAGTCCTGAATAGGACTGTTGTTGTTGACAGTGACTGACGTTTCGACAACCTGTGCGATAGTCATCTTCAGAGTCAAAGTGAGTTGTATCACGTCAGTTGATGGTATTATACTCTGGTTATTGGTCTGATTGGTCAATTACGTTGCGATGTTATTGGTCGTCTGTCAGTTAAGCCGTGATGTTATTGGCTATGAAGACTCGTAATCAGTAATTAGTGCGTTTCGATCCGTCTTTTGGCACAGTTAAACACTCGTCTATTGTTAGTCAAATTGTCAGTTCTCCAGTCGTTTTCTCGATGAATCTCATAGTTTATTAGATATAATCCGTGTAAAGTTTGCTTATCATTTTCGCATAAATTATGACCTAAATTTGGAAACCGCTGAATTTCTCGAATTGGGTCTTTGCGATTTTGGTGAAACTCTGTTCAGCGCAAGGCACTAATGCGCACTATGTGTAGCCGAGAGATTTTCACGAAAAAATGCCGGCAACAGCAGATTTTCGACTCAGACCTCAAAGGGGCGTGGCATTATAACCACGTGACATTTACTCCCATCGCCAAAAATTTTGTTATATTGTAGATTGATCTATATGTTATCCATTCTATATGTTAGACTTACGATAAAAGTAAAGGTGGGGATACCAGAGAGCTTCAAAGTAGGATGGTACCCCCCAAAAAAACTGGGTCGAGTCACCCTAAGTTACTTATCATTAAGTTAGGGAAGTTCAATTGTATAATTATTTATTCGATCCGTCAAAATTTTTCCTCCCGTTTCACTTCTTTAAAGTCCTTTTTATCTGTTCCTTTTCTGTTACAGGGTGTCCAGCGCCATGGATGAACACAAAAATAGGAAAATAGGAAACTCAGGATTGAGAAAATAGGAAAAATAGGAAACTTTGTATTAAAAAATAGGAGAAAAATAGGAAAATCAATATTACTTTCGCCGACAAAGATAGTCTGCCAGCCCTGAACCCCATCAGGGTTGTAATAAAGGTTACAAGTCCTCAGCTTCTATACGTTCACAGCATTTAGATCAACTTTCGCAGCTTAGAAAGAGTGATCAGTATTTTAAAACATTTAGTTTATTGGTTCAGATAAGCTGTAATCAGAATGATACGCTTGATTGCAGCAGGTCAAGCGTGGTTCTATAAATCAAAGGTTATCATATGCAAATTCCCTTCAAGTTAGGTTGCGGCAGATCTTTGAAAAGCTTTGTAGAATGAAATTTTTTAGGATAGAAATTCCTTACGATTTCGTTGTTATTGAAGGATATCGAACTAGGACTAAAAATTCCTATGGAAAGCTTTTCTTCCATTTATCTGCAATCGGTAGCTGGTTGAGAATATGCTTGTTTGAATCAAAAGACTGCATAGTTTTAGTAATTACGGAACCAGGCTTTCCGCGGTGTACACAAAATGACACTATTTAGCTATTTGGTATCAGATTGTAAGTGTGTCATAGTTAAGTTCTAAGAAGAACGTAACACTCTGCTTAGCTATGACTGCAAGACCGGTTTCGCAATCAAAATATTAGATCCGCCCGCGCCGGTTAACTCAATGGGATAAGCGCCGGTCTGCTGAGCAGGAGGCCGTAGGTTCAAATCTCGGCTGGACTAACACTGAAGGTCTTAAAATAACTGAGGAGAAAGTGCTGTCTTTGTAATCACATCTGCAAACAGTTAGCCTTTCTGGTCTCGGATAAGGACGATAAACCGTAGGCCATTTCTCACAAGCCCTTGCACATGTAACAAATCTGTGGGACGTTAAAGAACCCACACGTAGTGCCCGGTGTAGTGGTCTATCTCACTTTCACACTTGTGTATGGGGGCATCATTACTCATTCCTTCATTACGTGTAAACTGCACCTTAAGCAGTCTGGCAAAGTCCCCCAACCAGTGTTTTAAGTTATCCCTGAAAAGCCCTGAGGGGAGTGGATAATAAGATATCTACAATTTACGATTTACAATCCTTCGTCAGTTGCTTAGGAATAGCTGTTAACAAGGGCTCACCAAGAGAGCTAGTGCGGTAAACTAAACTTGAGTCTGTTCTTTTCATGTAGCATCCAGAATTCAGCTAGGGATTGGTTTTTTAAACAAGAAGCTGATTGGATGATTTATCTGAACTGTGTTGTGAGAGAACAACTCGATACTGTTTTCCGTTTCAAAGATGAACATAAAAGCGAGCAAGACTTCAAAATAAAATATAACATGTACAGATACTGAAATGCAGTTTCAGTGGGCTATGCACAATATTATTCAATAGTCATGAGAACCACATTGCATAACACTACATACAATACATGTAGGTGCACTAGAAAATAGTACAAAAAGTAGCAACATAATAACGTTGTTAACAGAACTCAAAAAGGCAATAGAGGTCATGAAAAGAACAAATGTAACTATTAGTTTTTCTGATATAAGAACATCAAAGCCAGCATACTACTTGCTTTATGATAGATCTCACTCTAAAACAAATACAACTATAATTCCATATTCAATTTTGTTACAAATTTTGGCTTCACAAGCTAAAAAATAGGAAAAACAGGAGATTTTAGTTAAAAAATAGAAGAAAATAGGAATAGGCTCAAAAAATAGGAAAAAATAGGAAAAAATAGGAACTAGACACCCTGCTGTTATTACGTCTTCAGAGAGGGTTCTCCTGTTAAATTCATTTCGTTCCTCTTCAGAAAGCTCTTTCCACATACTCGATAAGAAAAACATTCCTCTCAGCGAAAGTCATGGTATCCATCGTCACTTCTGTGAGGATGGATAATCGTGCAATGATGTAACTCGAGTACATAAGCCTAGTCATTGTTACCCGTTAGTCAGTCATATGCACGCTGCTATCACGGTCAAGAATATCTTGTTTATAGCAGCGAGCGTATGACTGACTAACGTGTGATAATGACTAGGCTTATGTACTCGAGTTACATCTTTGCACAATCATCCATCCTCACAGAAGTGACGATGGATACTTAGCACGTGGCGCAACAGAATTAGCGTCCTCCAGGACAGCAGCAATCGCAGACGCGCCCGACTGAAAACCATTGCCAACATCTCGCGGTGGTTACAGAAGCAAAGGGAGCACGGCCTGCTGCGACGGTACTGTAACTCTGCCGACGAAACGGCAGCAGGCCGCGCTGCGGAGAACTTTCCTGGCCCGCTTTTCACTGACACTCTTTGAGAACTGACAACTTTGCATATATTATTCGGATTTACATAAATAAATGCTTAATACGTCATCACACGGGATAATTAACGATTATTCCTCGAGTCCGAATGGGCTATTGACTCAGAGGCCATGAGGGCGAGAGGAATAATTGTTTTTTAGTAAAATCCAACTAGTTGGTCAAAAATATCGAGACAAAACTAGTTTAGCTGGCAAAACGCGATTGAGCGGCCATTGTTTTGGTTTTCAAAGGCGGCGCTTTTCGCTACTGGTGTGCTATAACATATCTGCCTAGTAATAGGTAAACCAATCAGAACGCAGCATTGATAATAGACCACTGGTTGGATTTTACTAATGAATATTACATGACTGTGAATACTTATATTTTCAACAGATGAAAGCGAACGAAGAGGGCTAATTGACATAAAATTTATGTTCAAGAAAAGTAATACTGCCACCATTTTGGAATAGAATGTTACCGTGAAAGGGTCTATTAAAGTTGCAGAAACGTTTGTCTTAATGGACTAAGACCGAAAAAGGATAACTCTTTGATTTGAATGTTTTACCTTGAACACAATGTTTTAGTGTGTATAGCTGAAATGGATCCATATTAAGACCAAAGATTGAAACAATAGGCGACCACGTAATTCTCTGGTGTTGCAGTAATTAAAGTATTGAATTTAACAGGTATTCACTAATACGAAGCTTTGTGTAGAAAACGGAGAATTTCGCTTTCTTAACAGTTTTAATAAATTCGTAAGCTATATGGAACTTGCAAATAAATGAAGGGACGTCTTTTTGGACTAATATGGTTAAATTTTCAACAGCTGATCAAGGCGAACAAAGAGGGATAACTGATTTACATAAATATTAAAGAAATGTAATGTTGCCGTCCTTTTGGAATAGAATGTTATAATAAAACTCCATAAACATTTACCTTTGTGACTTTATGACAGAAGATCTAGAAATACCAAGAACTCTCTTGGAAATAATCCAAGCTTAATTATTGCATGTATATCTTTAAATAAGATTACCCATACTTTTATGCGGTCTCGACGCGTAGGCTTTCTATAACGTTTAAAAAGCTGTATACAAATGAATTTAGAAAAGTTTTTTTAGATCCAATCATTTTCTCAGCCGTTGTAAGAACACGGCCGAGGCGGAAAAGTGGCACGCACTGAACTGATGCATTCAACTTCCGGAAATTAAGCTGTCCTCAGTTGTGTCCTTTGTCCACTGCATACCGTTCTTCTCAAGATCTAAACTGAGAATAACAGTTAAAAAAACGGGAAAATGAGCTTGTTTACCAACTAAATGCGACAATTACTCATTTTACAAATGCATGATAAATAAATAAAAGTAAACGAATGAATAATTATGCGCCTCCGGCTGTTTCGATTTTCGGCATTCTTCTAAGTATGCACCAATTATTCTGCGCCATCGTGGTCAGTTCGCTGCCCTTGAAGTTGCTGAGTTTATAGAAGTTAGAGTATAAAGTGATATTCTTTGGTATTTTACGTATTAAGCTAAATTTTTCATTTCGCCTTTTTCATTTTTCTGTGCTCAAAGCTTGTTATTTCTCCTGGAGCAAAGCCATAGGTGGAAGAAAATATCCTCGTGTCAATTTCTATTTCCTTATGACTTTTCATTGGTCAGAAACCTCAGAGACGCAAATAATTATCGATATACAAAAGCAGCTGCCTGTTGTTTGCGGCCCTATGCCTTCAACACCCAAGTTGGCATAACAGAGTGGAGTGAAGATTTCTTCCACGGAAGTACGAAAGGATTTTATTCAAACGTTCAAAGTGCTTTATTCGTTATGTTTTTCGTTCTTATTGTCCTGTGGACTTCAATGACGTCGTTCTGTCTAATTCAAGGGCAATTCTGCAGTGGAGGTAAGAGTTGTTTGTGCGGTGCACAATATAGCTAGACAGGGAACATCTTATATGCGCAAAAACTGTTTTCATCTCAGTGATAAAGTAAAAAGATGACATTAATAGAAATCAACTATAATATTATGATTTACATTAATTTCGGGTAGTTCGCCAAGTTCATTGTCTTAAATAGACCCTACTACGCGAAATTTCACAGACTTTTGTATGGTGGGGGGCCCGAACTTGCCCCCATCATACATTAACGTCTGTAAAATTCGGCGACTTTACAGAGTTATATCTTCGTTAGTTTTGGACAAGTCACCTTCAAACTTAAGGCAATTTTCAGTATTGATTTCAAGACGTTCTTTCTAGTAGTGTTGACGTATTTGCGCTAACTATTGAAGATGCAGAAACATTTGTCTTAATGGACTAAGACCGAAAAAGAGTACCTCCTTGGTATGAATATTTTACCTTGAACTTTATGTTTTAGAGTGTGTATAGACATGGATCCTTTTTTATACCAAAGATTTGAAACAATAGGCGACCACGTAATACTCTCTCTGTCTGGTGTTGCAGTAATTAAACTGTCGAATTTAACACGTAACTTTTCACTAAATACAAAGCTTTGTGTAGAAAACGGATCCTTTTTTAGACCAAAGATTTGAAACAATAGGCGACTGCAAATACCCCGGGGCAAATACTCAGTCTATTTGGTTTTGCATAAAGCATGGAAATTAACAGGTGTTCACTAATACACAGCTTTCTGTAGAAAACGGAGTATTTGGCTTTCTTAGCAGTTTAATAAATTCTTAAGACATATGGAACTTGCAAATAAATGAAGAGACCTCGTTTTGGACTAATATGGCTCGGTCGGTTAATGCTTAATTTGCAAATTTCATGTGAGCCTTTAGCGAGGGGAAATTAGCCTACTGAATAAGATCGTGTTGCGTTCAAGCTGAATCTAAGAAAAGCTAACTGCATTTATTAAAATGAAAATTATTAAGATGTCGTGTGTCTCCAGTGTAAGAAGTCGAAAATTAAAGAAAACCGTCTGATATTTTTTCCCGAATTTGATCATCTGAGAACAAAACATAACAGGCCAAAACGGAATTTATTGACAGCTTAGCTGAGCCTTTGGCTCGACTGTGCGCCCTTACCTTGTTTTTTGTGTCGCTGCAAAACCGTGGCCTCGATCGAGGATCATATCACATACAAGGTAAAAAATAAGTCGTGAAATCATTTCAATGTCCACCTGGCTTAAAGATTACAGGTTGGCTTTCGGAATAATTACTCTCGTTTATCGAAAAAAACAAACAAACAAAAAATTATCACGAGTTGTCTCTAGTAAGTGTTTATGATATTATTTCAACTAGACGAACAAGTTTAAACAAAGAAAGGGCTAACAAACAAGACTTAATTGAAAGTTATGTATTTTATTAACGTTAAGTTCAGGATGGAATTTCTATCTTCTATTAGTATATCTACTCGGACGTCTGTTATACCTTAAAAAAGGTGCCTCGAAAATTAGTGAAAAGCCGCGAAATTTAGTGACCCATATAAAAACCTTTATTTAAGTTTTCTGTCTGCTAGGAGTACTTAGCTAAAACTGTGGGCCTAAAATGATTGCAAGTATGTCACACCTTGCAAAATATTTGTCCGCCCCTGTTTCTTAGGCTTATAACCACGAGTTTTGCAATTCCTATACGCAAATCCGTAGGTATACTGTGTTTTGTGTTCAATTTAAAATTCAGATCGTTTTTAGGTATATATACACAGTCAGGTACTCTTAGTTGTACCGTAAAACGCCCTGATGAAGTGTGCGCTAGTCACACGAAAAGCGTAGGGGACAATAAAACAGTTTTACAACTCAGTGCTGCTCACTGGTTTATCCTTTTAAAAATATTCTTTACAACCTCTTGACAGGCAATGTAGGAAAGCAGCACATAGGAAAAGGATGGAACAAAGCGGAAATATTCGAACTTGTTCAAGGGAAGACATTTTTATTGCCTAAAGATCCATTTGAAAACATTAAGGCGATTCTTATCTGAAAGTTAATTGGCAGCTCTATCGAGTTAAATAGTAAAATATGTTCAGTGCCAAAAAAAAAAATTTTGAACAATTTATTTGGGTGTAACAATTATTTTTTAAGCGACTCGGGTATAGTTCAACGGGGTAGGAATTTATCTCTTGGGGCATCAAAAACGCTATCTGGAGTCATTATTGTGAACCTGTTGTCGTCTAATTGTTGCTTTCGCTTTTTGCTTTTGGCGCGGTGTGTTCTGTAGCACCTTGTAATAATCGTCGAACTTTGAAATACCTGTCGCACTTTTTACTTAAAAATATGTAGAAATTTGTAGTAACAGACCTAAACCCAATAATAAGTACAGTCGACTCCCGATAACTCGAACCCTCGCTAACTCGAACTTCGCGCTAACTCGAACCAAAATCGATTTGCCCTAGTTTTCCGTCATACATTCCCTGTAATTTTACCCTCGCTAACTCGAACCCTCGATAACTCGAACTCCCGCCAACTCGAACCAATTTTCGTTTCCGCTCAGGTCATTTTCTATATAATTTTGCCCTCGATAACTCGAACCATGTTCTGAGCCCTTAAAAAGTCGCGAAAAAAAGCCGTCTACTGGCGTCCGAAACATTGAATTTTGGATTTCCTATTGACGTTTTGTAGGAGTATAGTTTACTAGTGGAGGCTGATGTTGATTGTCACAGGCTAACGTGAAGCAGCTTTACTTCTCAAAACAGTAAAACGCATGCTCCATTTAGGCTATGTTTTGTTACGTTACGTTCTGATTTATAATCTAGAAGTATCTTTTAATTTTCACTTGACATTTCTACAATTAAATGTGATTAAAATGTTCACGGTGCTCTACAAACTGTTTTTTACCTTACTCTCGGCTATTTTCTCCGAGCTCTCGTTAACTTGAACTCCCGATAACTCGAACTTTTTTCGATTTCCCTTGAAGGTTCGAGTTATCGGGAGTCGACTGTATCATCATCGATAACAACAACAATAATAAAATAACCATAACAATAACAACAATAACAATAACAATAATAAAAATAAGTAAACATTCCACTGAACGGTTTTCAGCACCCTTTTCTCAGATCAAGTGTGGGTGGAGAAAAGTGTTCACATCAACTGCAGCCTTCCGGCTTCAAGAGCTTTGTAGGGAAGTAGAGCTTTTTCTATGTGGACGACCTCGAGACCATGAGATTGTGTCCCAGTAACAGCGAGAGTCCGTAATAATGGGAGTTTGAATTAGAATTTAGCTGCTATCCGTATTATCGGGTTGTCCATAAAAGTAAGGTGTCCCTCTGGCGAAAGGTGATTGTATAAGCAAAATATTTTGAAAGTTTTACTCGTAGCATGGGCAAGATTACCTGCGAGGATATGTCCAGATATATCGAGATTTTAGAGGTTATCGCCATGAATAACCACTATACTAGTCTTACATAAGACCAAATTAGTATAAAAACCACAAACTTCGTGTACAATGCGGTGCTACGATCATTATCATAATCATCATCATCATCATCATCATCATCATCGTTATTCTATAGTTACTATATTACCTCACTAAAAAGTTCTTTACCATATTTGCCCACGCGGCATTCATTTGCCACAATGACTACTAATTCTAATTTTATATCATGAGCGGCTTTGATATAAGATAGGGACTTTAAGATCCAACGACGCGACGGCGACAAGAATGTTGCTAAAAAAGTGAATTTGCCTTCTTTCAGTCTTAATAGCGATTATTCCTAACCACTTACTTTGTCAAATGTAGGCGAACGCTCCTGAAACTGAATTTCAAGGGACCATATTCAAGCTCCGAAAGAGAAATAAAATTTCGTCGTTTCTTGTTTACGTCCTCTATAAAACGCGAAATTAGGCATTTTCACGTCGTAGCCGTGCAAAAACGGGAAAGAAATGTACAAAATAGTGTGATGCACGTGTGAAGTTGTTGTTTTGCTTATTAAACTTAATGTATTTTTGACGTTCTCGTTGTCGTCCGCGTCGTTGGATCTTAAAGTCCCTAATAATCACCAGCGTCATCATCTTAAAACATCCTCGATAATACTAGCAATAAAGCTATTATTACTGTTATTATTGTTGTTATTGTTGTCGATGATGATGCTTATTATTGGGTTTACTTGTCCCCCGACCATCCATTTCAAGTTCATTACATTAAGTGCGACAGCTTATTTTACGACAAAGTGCGACAGATTTTTTATTGCAAAGTGCACCAAGTGTTATTACTAGGTGCGTCAGGTATAACAAAGTGCGACGATTATCACAAAGTGCCACAGAACATGGTGTAAGAAAATTAATGTTATCAACTTATTTTGTTGAATTTCTTCTTCAAATCATTCAAATTTTTATTTGCTTCTTTTTTTACATCATGCTTAAGTTTTTGCAAAAATTAATTTTCTTCAAGTGAGTTATCGTTGGCGTGGGAGTCTCCGGCGATTCGCAGAAAGCCTCAACAATCAGTCTTGAATTGAATATGAGGTCTTGCATTAAACGTCAAGCCATTTTCGGTGAGCTCATTTATTTCCTATTTGTCTCAGACATATGTCGCCAGATAGAGTTTGATCACTCTTTTGATGGAAAACGCCTGAAAAATCACGTGATTCGTACTGCTGAGATCCAGAGTGAACGATCCTGTCGGACTTTGTGCTACATGGAACCAAACTGCGTCAGTTACAACTTTAACAAAGTCACAAGGAAATGTGAGCTGAATAATTCCACCTCAAGAGAAGGAGAGGAAAATATGGAGTCGAATCCAGGTTATGTATACTGTGGAGCTAAGGTATGCAAAGTTTTACAAATTATGAAACTTTGTAAAAAAACGAAATGTTACTTGTTTGGATCGAGGATTGTTTGCGAGTGCTCCAATTATGGTTCTATCACTTTCTGAAGTAATGCAGCCTTGGGGGTCGCTACTGTCAACTTTTTAGAAAACATAATGAAAGTTTTCCAAAACAAATGTAATTTGAAGACAGATTTTGCCCGCCTGCATTAATTAGTTCTAATGGAATGATTTCTATGTCCTTGATCGAATGATCTGGAAGGGAGAAGTGTTCTGAAACGGTGGTAGGATGATTAAATTGATATGGATTTCTGGCTTTTTCTATGGAGCGTCGTTGCTCTCCAAATCTGTCACTGAACTGGCGTTTAGTTTCGCCGATGTATTGCATGTTACATTTATTGCACTGGATCATGTAAATGAGATTGGAAGCTGAACAGGAATTGTGGTGTGGGATGCGTCGTAATTTCGTTGGTTGAGTAGAAGGTGTGGGACGTGGTTCCAGGGGCGGATCTAGCGGAGGGTGCGGTGGCTGTGCACCCCCTGGGGATGACCTGCGGTTTTCTAACACAAATGGTATTCTGCAAAAAAAAACAAAAAACTATGTGGTTTATTGGTGTTGAAGTGGAGCAAGAGACGAGTGCACGCCCTCCTAAAAAAAATCCTGGATCCGCCCCTGGGTTCCTTCTGTAATAAAAGGACACTTCTTGCACCTACTTCTGTTACAGCGGAAAGCTCCAGGTGTTTTGGGGGATGGTCTGCGGTGTTTGGCTCTGACTAGGATGTCGCGTAGACTCAGTGCAGCGGCGAAAGGATAGGATACTTTCAGAGAGCCATGCTATAGGGTCAGAACGTCTTAATTGCTGAGTTATGAAATCAGAATGTCAAATTCATTTTCAAATTCATATACGTTCAAAGAAAATTATCTTACAAAAAATTAGCTAATGTATTATAAAATTAGGGATTTCTTATTTCTTTTCGTGTCCCTAGAACGCTTGTGCAAATAAACCTTGCAAGAACAAAGCAACCTGTCAAACCGGTTTTACCGGTAAAGGATATCACTGTTTGTGTCCAGTGGGATTTGAAGGGGATCATTGCGAGAACGGTAATTTAATTGAAATCTTTGTCTAGTCCAAATATTGTAAATTGTAGCAAATAAACAAGGGGCAATATCACGAGAAGTTTCCCAAGTTTTCGCGCAAACTACTGTATTATTTATTCTGTTAGGCGCCCTGGGCGCTTATCAAATTTTCCGGTGTTCGTGGGTGCGTGCGTATTTGTGGTGGGCGCTTGTTCGAGGCTGTGCGCTCATTAAATTTTCATTATTTTTAGCACGTAGTAAGTTAATTTTTTAACAAAACAGAGACTACGAGATACGAGACTTGAAGATGCACCAGAACAGAATTTCAACTGTTCATTGAAAGTTTATTAAGGAAAACTCGGTCTTCGGGGAAGTCTCTTTTAGTACCTAGCAATTCAATTTGTATCTCATCGTCATTAAACTCTCTTGTGTTGCTTCGTCGAGATGTCTCACAACCTAACGTCTGCAAATTGGTCAGTCGACGAGAAGCAAAAAGGGTTGCAAATTTAAGAAATAATAAACCGATACTCTTCTTATCCACTTAAGTTTTTGTTGGTTAAGAGGGGGGGGTGGGTTAGTTGGCTAGACAAAAAATATCACTTTCGTGTCTCTCTGTCTACCACATTTAGGAAGGGATTGAAACTTAGAAGTGGTAGTTTCTAAGCTGGCTCGACTGAATTTTTTTTAGGGGGGGATACCTCCCAAGTTTGAACTTTAACTACGTAGCCATGAACAAGATATCGGAAAACGTTTACCACAGCGGTATTATACATAGATGAAAATTAGTTACGGTTTGTGTTTTATTTTGACATCAGAGTTTCAATGGCAACGTAATGACGCCATTAGGCTTATTTCGTAGACTTCAGTAAAGCCTTTGATTCGATACATCGTGGGAAATTGATGGAGATCTTGAAGGCATATGGAATTCCAACAAAGATAGTGGATGCCATCAGCATACTCTACAAGGACAACGAAGCACAGGTGATATCTCCTGATGGTGATACGGAATTCTTTGAAATTTTTGCGGGAGTTCTGCAAGGAGACACACTCGCACCTTTCCTATTTATCATAGCCCTGGATTATGCCCTTAGAGAAGCTACTAGAGAAACACACACTGGGTTCACGCTTACACCACAGCAGAGTTCCCGTCATGCAGCAACATACATCACCGACACTGGTTTCGCGGATGACCTTGCCCTAATTTCTGACTATCTTGAAGAGGCACAACTTCTCTTATTAAGACTGGAGGTTGCTGCGAAAACAGTGGGTCTGCATGTTAACTACAAGAAAACGGAATACATGCTGTACAATCAACCTGTAGGTGATCTTGTCACACTGGGAGGGAACAAATTGAAGCAAGTAGATGACTTCAAATACCTTGGTTCGTGGATACAATCAAGTGAAAAGGACATGAATATAAGAATTGGACAAGCTTGGAGTGCACTCAGCAAAATGATGAAAGTGTGGAAATCAAACCTAAAAAATCATCTCAAAATAGGTTTCTTTCGGGCCACAGTTGAAAGTGTACTGCTTTATGGTGCTGAATGCTGGACAATGACTGGAAATATGAGGAATAGACTAGATGATACGTACACAAGAATGCTCAGAGCAGTTCTTGGAGTTTCCTGGAAGGAGCATAAAACCAACAAAGAACTGTACGGCAACCTTCCTAAGATTACAGATACACTGATGATCAGGAGGCTGCGGTTTATAGGACACTGTTGGAGAAAAAAGGATGAGGTGATAAGTGATCTACTACTCTGGGAACCAAAGCACGGCGCAAGAAAGAGAGGAAGACCAGCATTAACATATGTAGACCAGCTGCAAAATGATACTGGTTTGAGCATTGCTGAACTGAAGAACATCATGGAAAACCGGAAGGAATGGATGAAGCTAGTTAATGGAGTTCGAGTTCGCTCGAAATAAATAAGCAATTTCTCGGTACCAGGAGTTTTTTTCGGAAATCGGTAAAGGAAGCTTTTACCTCCCTTCGCTGTCTCGATTATGGCAAAGTTTGAACAAATTTTATGAGAGCGGTTTGGAAATATTTTGGAATGAAATTTAAAGGGTCATAAACAGTGAATAAACATGCCATCGACATAACTCGCTAATATCTAAAGGAAAGATGAGCTCTGAAAATGCAGTCTCATCTCATAGTGGTCTGATTTCATTTGAAACTGTCTACGAAAAAAAAGGGGAATTGCTTTGGCCGATTGCGAGAAAAGAATTTGATTAGCCTGCATTCAGCTGCTTTTGATACCATTTTTGTGTGTAATTTAGCCCACTCCCACAAATTTCATGTTAATTTTGAAATTGCTTGATAATTTTTTTCCAAAAAAATTTGGCAACGGCCTGTAGCTGCGTGCTTTCAACCTGATTTTGAGTCATTCGTCCTCTTGTTTTCTGCAATGCTGAAGTACTTAGAATTTTTCTCAACCAACCATGCATTAATTTTCTCACAAGTTTCTCCCCATTAATAGAACCATCATACTGACTATATAAACTTTTTTTTGCAGACATAGACGAATGCGCAAAAAATACTCACAACTGCGGTGCTAATGCTTACTGCAACAATACCAAGGGAAGATACAACTGCTCTTGTCATCCGGGATATTACGGAGACGGAAAGAATTGTGAACCAGGTGAGTTAGCAGGCTTTGTGTCGACTTACTAGGTCCTAGAGAGATTAAGTAAACAGACCGGTACCACGCATTGCCAGTCCTGATAATCCAAAAAGCACTATGTATTGCCCTGTCATATGTTTTAACGTGCCGTCTTTTTTATAGATAGAATATGAGCCCCATATCTGACTGAAGACAGCAGGTCTAGTTCTTAAACAGCTGATGGTTGAAAAAGCATTACATGAGTTTTAAGGTTTTATGTATTTGGTAAAAGAATCCTTAAAAAAAAAAGTGCCGAAAGTAATGATTAAAAACTTCACAAACCGAACGTAAATATTCATATTGGTCATATGAGAATACCAACATTATTATTCATTTAAAATATTTCGCCGTTTCTGATGATTGGCTGCCCCTCTTCATAACCAACCGGCGCGCCTACCCGTATTTGGAAGATGCGAGCAATACACCACCGATTAGATAGGATATAATTATGTAATTGCTAAATATTCCCGTCGCTGTGGACACTGGTTGCCATTTTTGATTAGGAAGAATAACTTTTTCCCCTTGATTTATTGTATATACTGCATGTTTTATTCAAAATATACATTAAAGCGCGCGGAGCTGCCTATCATTTCAGCATGGAAAATATAATAACGCGCACGGTTATAAAGCAACTCTATTTATTACCGTCCTTCTTTTATTTTGTAACACAGTTTCATCGTGTAAAGACCTTTACAACAAGAAAATGTGAGTAAAAGTACAAGTTCAATTTTTAGTCCATTAAAATCACAAACTTTTTGTTTTGGGGACTGTGCAGTAATTATAAGGGGGGAATTGCGGAACAGAAGGAGGTTGTAAAGGCAGAGTGCAGCAATACACCAAGAGAGTGGGAAGGTATCTAAATTATTCATTGAAACGATGGGGATGATATCTAGCTAATTTTCAACAAAAATTTCAAGTATCAAATTTTCAAGTATGGAAAACTAACATCAGTATAGCAAATGTTTGAAAGTTGCATTATATGGAAATAACAAAGGGCATTACAGCTGATTATGTCATTCTTGGCAAATTAATTTGCATAAAAACTCTCCGTAAACTGCTACCTCAGGTGCTCCTTGAAAGTAGTTGCACATTAATTCAGGTAAGCTTTACTGGCTTATTTATAGCTAGGGTTGTAAAAATGGCAAGCGTTTCCAAATCAACTTCCTCAGCTTAATAGACGCCATATTATAGTCCGGCAGGATCATATTCACCGTCTATATCCATCGCCCCCCGTGACATAAAGATGAGACACCATTTTTCTTTCGTTTTTCTACAGCCTCCTTTTTTCTTCTTTCTTCCTTTGACTACTATCAATTTCTGTTATCATATCTGTAATAGTTTATGATTTTTAGGCTTCTGCCGTAAATAGGCCCTTGTTTGCATTGTAATGTGGCTTGGTATCGTTGTGAGAAAAACTGTACAGCACATGCTGAATAGACGATAGTTAAAATTGTCACTACCCCATGGAGGAGGGTGTTATTTAACAGCCTTAAAAGAAAAAAAAATTAAGAATGACACTTTTCAGCGTATAAATTTTCCCCATGGCTATGATCGATCTTATTGTCTATTTTCAAATCTACTGGAATAAATCTTCCTTCCGAATCAACAAATTGTTTCACGATTTTTGTTAAACAAATTACACACCACCTCCCCACGTAAGCTAGAAGCGCTACTAAAAATATTTGAGAGGCCCATTCATGACCACAGATATTCTACACTGAGTGGGAACAAAAAAGCAATAAAAAAAAACAAACCTGAAAAGGGCACTTGGTTGACTACGCTGGGTATGATCACATACAGACAAAAGATACATATTGCCGGGTTTTCAGTGTCACTCCAACAAAAATAGATCGAATTAAAAGTCAAAAGCGTTACATACAGCAGATAAAGTCCAGAATCTTGGAAATGAAAGGAGGTAAATATGCAAAGATCCTCGCCAAGATTCAAGTCAGAGCGATATTTCATATGCGAGATATCCGGAGAAATGTTTTACCGAAATTTATAGAGCTTTGTATGGAGACGTCATGTTGGTGCCCATACGGATTGGCACCAACATGGCGGCCGGAAAGCAATAGAAACATCTGTCACTGAGTTTTGCTACGAAAGCGTGCATTTAATTCTCGAGGAACTCATAAACATTATAGTAATACTTTTTCTAATACATGAACTGTTCAGATAGCACAATAGCCCGAAATAAGTCACTTTGTTAACCTACTTGACAGCTCTCCCCAGGGGCACCCAATCAATCTGTTCCTCAAATTTCTGCTGGCTGGGGGATTGAGAGGAAATAATATGTCCTTGGAAGGAAAGTGTTGCTAGGAAAAAGACAAATAAGAGTGTCTGAGGAGATTTGATGTCTAGAAAAGCTGCTATCAGGGTGATAGGCTCCTGCTGTTATCCTGCTAACCTAGTTCTCCCCCTCCCAGCCCCCCCTCCCCCACTAAAGGGGTGAAGTTAGCCCTTGGGCCACAACCTTTCTCCTAATCCCCCCTCCCCACTGAAGGTCCGAATTTTTCCGTATGACCACACCCAAACTGGTTAGTAATGTCTTAACATACGTCTGCTGTTAAAATTTCCGAGTAAGTCAGGTTGCAGGTTGTAAATACACCTTCCTGGCTGGGAACTCTTCCATCAGTCTTGCTTGGAGTGAGGAACAGATAAATTTTCCCCAGCAATCTCCCAAAATGCTTTAAATGGATTTAGAAACCTTTATTCATGCTTTGTTGTTGCTTTAAGGTCCTATTCTCAAAATTTCCCGTTGTCTCTCGGCCGTCATGTAAATGCCTCGTCAAGCATAAGCTTCTAAATTCAACTATACAATGTGTACTCTACCACAAAACCAAAAATCCTTTCGAAGAAAAAGTTTGTGTGAATATTAGTTTTTAGTTGCTCTAATACGTATACGCCATGAAAGTAAAATCTCAGTACTGCTTGTTTTACAGTTTGAACTTTAGTGAAGTCATGTGAAAGCCAACAATAAGATAAAATTAAGTTTGAGCAAGATCATCGGGTCAGTGTTGTCGACACCATTGCGTTATATTCATTATTAGCTAGGTTTTCATCGTCTAATACTTTAATTTGCGTCCATACGTACTATATACATTTCTTTCGCGCCACGAACTTGGCTTAATTGCTTTTGCGTAATCTTTATTTGTTTTAGACATTGCCTACTGATGATATTATGGACAGAATTGGCATTTAATTAAGCTGGAGGCGTTATAAAAGAAGTCAGAAAAACGTTTTTTAACTTTGACCTTCCGCAATCTTGCTCTCCCCGCGACAACGATCGTTGTGAGCCGTTTTAGTCCTCCAGTTAGTCGTAAACGCACGCCTTCTTTGGCTCGTCACGCAATTAAAGGGTTGCGTGACAAGCCACTAGGACGGCGGGTAGGAGGCTGGTCACCAGGTAGCCACTAGCCGATCGTTACTAGCGATCAATTGGGCACAATAGTATATTTTTGTCCCAGGATCTCACTTATTAAGGTATTTTGTTCCTTGTAGATCAAATGAAAGCAAAGATTACCCACTGATTTTGGGAGATGACATTTTAGATATTTATTGCAACATGACCACTACGGAAACTGACGCATGTGGAGTTGGTGGATGGACTCTGGCTATGAAGATTGATGGAAAGAAGGTATACGTTGTTCCAACATTGCCCATAATAACAGTGCATAATAACGATGCAATCTGAACGGAGGACTCGAGTATTTTACTTAGACCACTGTAGTACACGGTATATCTAGGTCCGTAGCAGTAATTATCCGTCGGTCTTGTCTTGTTGAGACTAGGAAAGGCCGATATAGGAATGAACACAGTTTCGCAGATGAAGATCGAAGGCCGGGTGCCCATGTGTTAAGTGGTATAGCAAGGATGTTTTACGCCTTTTTTTTCCAGGAATCTTTTTAGTTTGCGCAGAAAACATAAGCGCCGATGATAAGCGCCGTCAGAGCCTTTTGTCTTCATCTCGTGAAAAAAGTGCGGGGGAATCTCATTAAGATAACATCAAGTGTTATTTTTTTGGTTGTTAAACCGGTTTGACAGGTTTTAGGTTTGCTATATATGGTCATAATTGATTTTAAACTGGTTTGGAAGGTTTCTTTACTTTCCTAGTTACTTTTGAGCAATGATTAACCTGTAGGGATCATGTTCTTATTTGGTTACGATGATGTCACTGTTTCTTTTACATAATGTGCGTCATATCCTTCTTTGGTTATGACGTATTTTGATTGTTAGACTATATACTAGGGATACCTTCCGGCAAGTGCCAACGAGGCGAATTCGTTTATCTTTTGCGGAATGTGCCTATTCAGATCTTCGCGATATCTTTTTTCATAATTATAAAGGTTTAATATGGATTCCGTTATAGAAAAGGATGGCACCCAACTTCAAAACAACAACTTTGGCACATTCTAGGCTTTTAAACAATAACAACATGGCTTGAAGCTTTGTTGGTAAATATGAGCAAGTTAGCACTTATGTTTCATGGAAAATTCCATTGTATCAAAGCTATAAACGTTAGAAAGAAAAATATAGTTCAAATGAGGCCTTTGACTGGTGAAATTAAAAATAATAATTAAATTCCGAGCACCAGCATCATCAGGGATAAGAAAAGTGTTTCGCGTGGTAATATACATAAAAAAAAATTGGTGTAAAGTAAAATGTGTGAAAAGCGCAAGAATGGGGCGGAATGTGTCAGAGGTATAAAAATATAAATTTGAATAAAATACAAAGATCTGATGAGCGAGTGTCACAGGACAAAGAGTCTCTTGAAAGGCATAATGATAGTCTTCAAAACAAAAGGTCCGCAAATTCGTTGCATTCCTCACGGGAGTTTTGGGCTGTCTCAACGCAAATCGAGCAGCAAAAAAACATGCTGGTTGACAAAATCTCTTGAAAGACATAAATAAATTCTAAAAAAAAGGTCTGCAAATACGTTGCATTCCTCACGGAAGCCTGAGGACTGGCTCAATGTAAATCGACCTGCGAAGAACATGCTGACTCTGACATACGTTTTGAGAATATAACCCTATGCCTTGATCAACTACCGCGTAAAATTCAATTCACAAAGGAAAACAGAACACTGGAAACCCTGGTTCTGAGTCGAGAAGCGAACACGCTACCTCAATGTAAATCGAGCTACAAAGAACAAGCTAGTTCTGACAAAAATTTGAGCGTAAAACCTATTCCTTGATCAGCTGCGACTTTAAACACAATTTATAAAGCAAACCAGAGCACTAATTGCCCAGCTTTCAAACTAGGAATCGTATTAAAGCTTGCTCACCAGTTAGGTCCTCTTGAACAGACAACGAACAGCTGCAAACTGAATCACCCAATCTTGAACCACGAGTTGTAAATACAAGACCATGACGTCACTACCCAAATATGGGGTCTTACTTACACCCAAATATGGTCAAAAATGCAAATGTTAGAGGGTTACGCAGAATTTGAGAGTTTTTGCCTACATTGCGCGGCGTTATAATTCTGCCACCGAGTCAACCTCGCTTCTTAGCTCGGTTGCCTCGTTGGCAATTAGAAAAATGTTAAATGTTTTATTCATTTTCAAGAAGGAATAGGCGGCAACTTCTCTGTCATTTAGAAATATTGCACCGCAACTGAATTATGCAAGTTGATTTTCATGCCGCTTTCATTATCTATACCATTGAAGACAACTTTTCTTCCTGGCTCCGGTTCACTGATTCTTGGCGCGTAATATATAATGGCACAATCAAACCTTTGCAGCAGCAAGTCATTCACGCGGTCATGGGCTCCTGACATGGTATAAAACCGCCATGCTGGAGACGTACTGGGACATGACAAATAAATTACCATTTGAAATTATGAATAACTAATTGAGTCTTTTTGGTTTTTCTTCTGCCAGTGTTTCTCTTGCTCTCCAGCATGATGGTTTTGTACCACGTGAATTACTAGCTAGAGGGGTACATGTACCTTTTTCAGGCTTCTGGTTATCGCTAGTTGAGGTATATGAAAGGGTAGGGAATTTGGCTATTTGGTGTAAAAGGAAACAAAATGGCTAACAAGTGCATTTCATGGCTGTGGAAAAAAAAAGGAGATAACTTTCTGGTGATGTAATGCACTCATATTTAAAAGAAGGTGCGTTTACAGCATTCAAAAGGAATGTAAGGAACTAGGCATATGAAAGGGGTGCCATTTGTCAATAGAAGGTATACGAAAGGCACCTGGCCTGTCAAAAATGGTTTGTAAAAAGGTAAGAGGTTGAACGTCAAAGCGGAGCCTACCCCTGGGGCTTTTAAGGTCGCGGGGGGCACCTAATGCTCATTGTTATGCATTTATTTAACGAGAATGCACGACGTACAACGACTGACATCGACAAGTTTACGAGATAATAATGACTGGGATAAAATATGGGCACTTGATTTAAGGCGTTCACGTGTGCACGTGTGACATAGAAAATCCACTTTTGTCATAACACACTGGATGGTTGGATCAATCCTTTATTTATTAAATTAAAGTGTGCTGCCTTCTGTTCGATCCACAAACTTGGATACGTAAATATACCCGGATTTTTGAAAACCGGGTTAGCAAAAATATCCACTAATTCTACTAGTTGGCAATTTAAAACAAGAAAACTCGTTCAAAGGCCGATTAAAAGCGTTTATATGACGCCGGGCAGTAAGTTAATGGTCCCCAGAAGCATTCCAACGAGTCCAAATTTAAAATGACGCAAATTTTAGAACATTTATTCAGTAATGTGACTTCGCGAAGTTTCAAACCGGTGTCATTTCAGTCTAGAAAATTTTAAGTTGAGTGAACTGTAGCGAAAGAGTGCCTAGTTAAGGCTTACATAACAACTTAAATAGTTAGCAAAACACTACTTTTTGGGCGGTCCGATAAACAACAGGATTCCGCATGGAATAGACTACAAACTGAATGAAACACAGTGCACAAATTATCACCTTCTTATCTGCCAAAATCGGCTTATGGTTCAATGCCAATAGAGCCCACTGAAACTAGACCTAGATCCAATTTTCGCAAGTCGAGAGTTGCTTTTACAGGGTACAATCAGCTAAGCGAAACACCCACGAAACAGTATTAATGGCTGGCACAGAATATTTTGGCCAAACCGCAGTTCAACCACGCGATCACATACCTGTCAACACCATGCGGAAATCACACAATCACACACTTTCGCGGTACTGATAAGACTATCCACAACCACGCATAATCTTCTCACGTTCAACATAAGCGAAATATCATCGAATAACTCGGAAAAACTCAGCCTACTGGCAAATAAACACCTCTGAACTTTTCTCTAACACTTGTCTTATTCAAGTTCCCGGATGCAGAATCACACGGTCGGCGGATCACCTTAGCCTTGTTTTCACACCAGGCCTGGGTCAAAGTTCACCGGCAATTTTGCTCTCAGCTAATTCATTTGACTCCTAAGAGCCTGTTCCCGAGGACAAAGACTTAGTGGTCCCCTTAGAAAAGCGAACAATATCGTACCTTTCTGTCTCAGCCCGGATCAGGGTGATTGATCCGTTTAGCCAAATGAAACTAGAATATAATACGATATTGGACGATGCAGATTCTGCGAATCGTAATAACTTTGTCCCATCTCAGAGCTTTACATGATGCTCTCCGGGAAACTTTCCTCAAGGTGACCAATGTATAAAACAAAACTGGTAAACGGCACCGAAACCCAGCTTGAGGCGCACGCTGATTTCAATTAACTGTCACTTGTGTTAAAGAAAGAATTCTGGGTAGGGAAAAAAGATCAGGAGGGAAGGGAGGGGGGGGTAAGATAGTAATTCTGTCTACATGCACTTCTACACAAATCCCTAACCAAAAAAACAAGCAAATAACAAAAAAAAAAAAAACGACATAAGCAAGCAACACAGTAAACATATGTCAAACTATTAGACAGGCGAAGTTGAGAAAAATTTACAAAATGTTTGCTAACCCGATGCAAATTTATATCTTTTGCTAGTTGTGCACGTGCATATGAAACTTGAAATCAATGCCAGTGAATAATGAGGACGCTCACTTGTAAACACAAAATTGGGGGAAAAAATTGGTTATATTTGAGGCTCTATTTAAAAGCCTTTCCTGTTTTCAATGTTCTTGAAACTTGCAGGGAATATTTTTTGACAATTGATCTCCAGATTGTCGAATTTATAAAAAAATGTATCGAGCGGTTTTTTGAAAAATGCAAAATTTGTAGACATGGACCAAATTACGTCCAAAAACTATAACAAAAGCAGCTGAATGCAAGTCAATAAAATTCTTCTTACTCGCGATCACTCAGAGCAATTTCCCTCTTTTTTTGTATGCAGTTTTCAATGGAATCAAACCACTATGGGTTGAAGCCGCGTTTCCAAAGCTTATCAGTTTCTTAAAATATTAGCGAATTGTATGGATAGCATGCTATTTCACTGTTTTTATGATTGTTAAAACTGCATGTCAAAATATTTCGAAAACGCTCCCATAGAATTTGTTGAAACTTTGCCATCATGGAGGCAATTATGGCAGGTACATACTCCCTTAAGCGATTTCTTCAAAAAACTCCTGGTACAGAGAAACGCAAAGATAAGTAAAAAGCGTAATGGCGTCATTACGTTGCCATGGCGACTCCGATTGCAATAAAACCCAGATCATAAGAAATTTTCATCATTATATAATACAGTTGTGGTAACCCTTTTCCCATGTCTTTAATCATGCGAACGTAGTTAAAGCTCAAACGTGGGAGGTATCCCCCCCAAAAAAATCCAGTCGAGCCACCTTAAAAGAAACGTTAAAGAATTTGAAGTTTTCCACATGACGTCATCAAAATTCAAACTAAACTTTTTAGTTTTCACTTTCATGAAGTATTAGGGCAGCTAAAAACTTGTATTTTTACAAACTCTTTCTTTAGAAGGGTTCTTCTTTGAGTGATAGGTTACGCTTGAATTTTTAAGCCTTTATGTGATGACGCGGCATTTACATGACAGTCAAGGGAGCTTTCATGTAGGTGAAAAATTGACTTTTTTGGGGGGATTTTGCTATCTGAACAGTCCTTGTATTAGAAAAAGTATAACTTTAATGTTTATGAGTTCCAACGAGAGATGAGTTCCTTTTTTCGTAACAAAACTTAGGAACCGATGTTTCTATTTGCATCCGGCCGCCATGTTGGTGCCTCTCAGATGGACACCGACATTTCTCCTAATATCTCGAAGATGAAAAATTGCACCGATCTGAATCTTGGCGATAGTCCTTGCACATCTAACTCCTTTTATTTCCCAAATTCTGGACTTATTTTTGATGGCGTGCCAGCTAAAACTGGCAATTCATAAAAAGGATGAAGTACAAAGTGACCAATTGGCAATTGGAGCATAACTAAATATTTAAGGTCTTTAAGGAAAATTTCCTTTCATCTATTTTGCAAAACAAAGGTTAGGATTTAATCCAAATGAAGCATAGGAAAAATTACCAAAAAGATTTTCATACAAATTATTTAGGGTCACGGGGGTTAAGCAAGCTAAGGGTTAAGGATAATTATATCACAGTTTTCAATTATATTAATTGGATAGTAGAGGAATGCGGTATTTGTTTTTTATTACTAATTATAATTCAAAACACTTGCTGAGGCTTATTTTGATTTCATTCTGAAAAAACGAGAACACCGCTGTCGTTTGTAATTGAAACCTACGACCTTTTCTCTTTTAAAAAATTACAATTGTTCTATTTCTTCCATTTTTTTGTATTACAGAATACATTTCACTACGATAACGCCTTTTGGAGCAACAAGGAAACCTTTAACCTTTTTGGAGGGAAGACTGGGTTTGACGACCATGAAACGAAGCTTCCCACCTACTGGAACACATCCTTCTCCAAGATCTGCCTCGGTATGAAGATCAACAACCAGATCAATTTTATTGAAATCACTGAGAGCGCCAGTTCCCTGTATTCACTGATCGCTGATGGGCAATACCGCAGGACCTCACTGGGTCGTGACAAGTGGAAGTCACTGATTGGTTCTGAGGCCTCCTTGCAGATCAACTGTAACAAGGAAGGGTTCAATGCTGTTGGTGTTGATCGTCAACTATCTAAAGCAAGAATCGGTATACTTGGTAACAATGAAGACCACTGCCGTAATTGTGACTCCAGAATTGGGTTTGGTACTGGAGGAAAACATGATAACGACAACACATGTGGAAACGAAGCTTCCGCCATGGGTGAAAATGGTAACAAGCACATGGGCTACATCTTGGTGCAGTGAAAAGAAAACACCACGGTAGAAAATTTGTTGAAGTTTTTCTTGTATTACGATCACATTCTGTGTGTGTAGATAGCAGGCGATCTGACAGTGCATCTCTATGAGTTACAGTTTGCATAGTTACTAACGTTGAAGCCAGTAGTAGATTATAAGAAGTGGTAAATAAAAAGTATTTTAAAACTTCAGTACAAGCTTATGTTTTCTAGTACTTGTAGATTTGTGAACTAAACAATGCTGTTTTACATAACTGCGAACGGGGAATCCTCACAAAGGGAATTCCTAATATGACGCATGCACTCAGTCCTCACTAAGCCCCTAAAGACATGTTTTGGATGGTTAGATTTAGGGTTTAAATAAGCAAACTTATGAAATTTCTTAAAAAATGTCCAATAATATATAACCCCTGTAGATAAGGTTAAATCATCCATAGCTAACACTAAATCTAAGTACTGACAAGTCACATAGTTTTTAACAATGTTTACCACCAGGTTACTAGGGTAAAAAAGCATTATTTTCTGCAACTCGGACAATATACTTTTACTGTCCCTTACAGAAAACAAAATAATACCATCATCAGCATACCTTTTCAAAAAGATTACTTTTTTAGCATCACGCACTAAAAAATACTTATACTCAGAGTATAACAAAACTAAATCGCTAATTTCCTTACTAAAATAACAACCCATACTAACCCCCTTGACCTGTTTAAATAAACTATTACCCACATTAAAATAATTCCAATTATTGCAAAATGAATACAAGTCTAAAAGAAAATCCACTTCTGCCTTCCCCATTCCAAGTATTATTGCCAATTCCCTTAGTGTATTGCTAGCGTCCTTAAAGAGAATATTTGTGTACAAATCCTTAAAATCATAAGTTACAAAGGTACATCCACCCACTGAACTCAGATTAGTTTTCCCTATTAAACCAACCAATTCATAACTATTCCCTAAAATGGAATAGGGTAATGAGCTACTTTCTAAGTAATCCTTAAACCTAACCAAAATTGACCTAAATCTCTTCTGTAAATATTTAGATGCCTCTACAGTACACCACCCATACCCAGTTACTATGGGCCTACCTGTTAATAGACTTTCATTCTCCATACTAGCTTTTTCTTTTAGTTTGTGTACTTTTGGAAATAAATTCAGGCTAGGGAGAGTGTAATCCTCTATACTATTTCCTAAATTAAAGCCTTTATAATCCTTAACTGGTAACACCTCCATATGTTTCTTTAAAATCGCTTGTAAAGATAACCGACATCTAAGTTTTATACTGTCTACATCCTCCGTATTCCCTACCATTTGATAAAAACCAGATTTCAAATGCCTATCATATTCCTGTTTATACCAAGAAGAATTGTTAAGAGACCAGCCCAGGTTTTTGTCACTCTCCCTCAGAATATAACCATTATCCTGACTTAAATCTCTTAATAATTTTAACCCCCTTTGGTTACTAGTCATCCCCCTAACCGTATCAGCATGTAAAGATCTACTTCTAACACTTCTAACATGATTTACAGAGTAAAAATCAACTAATTTTAAAACCTTGGTTATAAACCTCCTCTCCAAACAACCTATTCTAGGATGGAAAAAATAACGAAAAATTTCCTTCCTAACATTTCTGCTACGCCCTCCCCCTTTCTTCCTAACCCTCACCCTAACACCGGCTAAATATTCAACATAACTCAATACAGCTAGTTCAGTCTGTTTTTTAACTGCACGCTGCTTCTTTATGCCATCGGATGTAGGTTTTCCTTGCAAAACGAAACCACCCCCATAGTTCAATATCTGCCGCTCTTCTTTGGTTACATTGCATCCAGTGAAGTTATGTAAATTCACTCTATCGCGTTGCCTTTCTCTTTCAAATGTAATGTCCTCACCATTTAGTCTATCCTTATGAATAAAGGATTTTAAATCACTTTGTGATAGGGCATCCCTCTCTTTTACAAAGGACAGAAAACAACGCAAAGTGTCTTTCAGCTCACCCGCAATTACTAGGCCTCCTCTTGCATGTCGTTTCTCCTTTATTTTGGTATAATAATCTCGTCCTTTCTTGTTTCTCCACTGTGTTATTTCAGAGGTAATTAACTTCGTCCTACTCTCTACTACATCATCAACTTTTCTCTTTATGGCCGCTAACCCAAAACCCATGCATTTCTCCTTTTCTTCCAGAACCAACCTTGATTTTTCATCCTTACATGTCACTACACCACAAACAGCTGTATATTCCACATCTGCTTCCTTTCTTAAATTATATAATTCAAACTTTAACTGTGCCAACGTACTGTACAGTCTATCAATCTTTTGCAAATCATTTCTTATAGCAGAAGTAATATGGCGAGATTTCAAAACCTCTGCATACCAAGTCTCTATTTCTTTAGGCATCGTTCTTTTTAAGCACCTTCACAAAAAAATCATTCTCACAAGTTTCAAAATAACGTTTACACGTAAGTATTTCTGCTCACGCCTCAAAATTTTCAAAGAAAACGAACAATTCTTTGTTCAACAGTATTCTGCTCGCAGCGCGCACTGGAAATAGTTAACTTCCCTTTAAAAATTTTTAAAAAACTTGACGTAATCTATGCAATCACGTAGCCCAGACGGATTGCACAAGTTCACTAGTCGTCTCCATACACAGCGAACTTCGCCACTGAGGTAAGCATTCCTAACCCTTCAATCTCTGCATTTACCCTAAGTAAAAACACCTAGTATGTAGATACCTTACGAGGGAAAAACAAACCAAAATTCACTCACCCTTACTACTATAGACCACCGCAATGGACACTCCAACATGCCAAAAAGGAAAACGACCGAGGGTAGAGGTATGTAGCAGTATTTTTCAAACTAAAGACATCCTTAAATGACAAAAAAAGGCACGTAGGGCTCAGCCAAATGGTACCATAATGGCGTCGAAACGTGTGGAAACAGGCTCATTCTCCGAAACCCGCCCCATTCCCCATCGGTTTCATTATATTCTGCTAACCTTCCCCTCCCTGACCTGTTTCCTTGATTGCCTTCTGAGCTCTTGATGAGACAAGGCTTTCAACCTTATGTTTAGATAGGATGTTTTTCGTTTTTAAAGATGAGCTCATCATATCTTATTTTTCATATATACCTGGGTAACATAAAATAACAATAGTAGACATATTATCATAGGTCGGTCACTCATTTTTACAGCTATCACCAGAGGAAGAAAAAGAAATTAGATCATGCCTGGCGGCCATCGAAATGGAAGAGAAAAGAAAAGAAATCGAGGGAAAAGAGGAAAAATTGCGGATGAGGGAAGAAGAATTAAAACTAAAAGAAAGAGAAAGCGAATTAGAGAAAAAAGATTTAAAGGAGAAAGAAGAGAAACTTAAAGAGAAAGCAAATGAGTTAAAGAAAACCACAATGGAAGCCAAACGGTTGGCTGCCCAGCTCCAATTTATGGCCGGGCAGCTTGACCGTTTGGCAAACCACGTACTTTCAGAAATGTCAAAATGAAGAATTATTTTTGCCGGACATTAAAGAAATTTTTTAGACAGTCAGGTGTAAGTTGATTTATTGCATAATTATTTGTCTTTATTTCACTACAACCATAAAAAACAAAAATTTTTTTCTGTGTAATGATTCATATATTTTATGTCTAAGAGAAATTTTGCACATCTTGTAAGACCAACATATATTTTTTCAAAAAAATACAAAGCCCAAGTGTTGTATATTTTATGCTGTAGTAAATAAGCAATTCGTGTGATCTCTTGTGAAGGAAAAGTTATCCTCTTATTGCAAGGTATGTGCCCCATCGCTGTCGTGCTCCACTTCCTCTGTTACCCCTGTCTTTAATCAATCGCTCCTCTCTTTATCTATCACTCGAATCTTGGTCGAAAAATCCCCTTTCCTATAACAGCAATCCTATATCTTGAAGCATTGGTTTTCCTCGACATCCCTCTTGCCCCTTTTTTTGCACAGGCAACCTAATTAAAATCAGTAAATAATGTTATTACAGGTCCATAATACATATTTCCCCTTATTCTCGTAAGTTACAAGTTAACAAATAATGCATCCCTCTAATTCCGTCCTTTTTGCTGAGGCAACTGAATTAAAATCAAAATAATGTTATTAAAAGTTCTTACCCAGTTCCCTTAAATCCCCTTAATTTAAAAGCTAACAAATATTGCCACCCTGTCCACCACCCCCCAGAAAATAAACTCCTTGTAACCGAGCAGCCTAAGATCAGAAAATATAATAAACGCCCCAAAAAACCAAACCAAGCCGTGTAAGCAATCTAAAATTGGTTTCCATTCATGCAAAAACAATAACAAGGGTGCGTAATGTATACTGCAATGAACCACCGTACAGTCTTGCGGCAACAGAGGTTTTTGCTAAGCTGCACCTGTTATTGGCTACCTCGTGCCTACTGGACAGATACCACAAAACTACGCAAGCAGGATGACGGAGCACTGTAAACAAGCCCCCCGTAAAATGATGCACTGAACTGCAGGATGTTGGAGTGTTATAAACAAGCCCCTCGCAACATGGTGAACTGAACTGAACTGTACTTTGTCGCTTAGCTGTTGTTCTTGTTATTATTAATGTTATAAGTGAACACATGAGCTCCTGGAGACCCCCTCCAAAAAAAAAAAAAAAAAATTAATAATAATAATAATAATAATAATAATAATAATAAATAAATAATTTAAGTTAAATATTATCATTATCATTAGTAAGCGCATATCCATTAAAATCCCCTTCTCCTGCCTTTATGCATCTGCGATACAAATAAAGATATATTTATAGTTGTGACATTTTCTGAACTCGTGCAGTCGTTGGTGAACTTAAGTGTATTTTATGAACTGAGTTGTCTTTACTGAACTATATTGTCTTTATTGAACTATAAAAATTAAAAAAACCAGACATTAGCTTCTGTCACTCTTCGTCTCTGTGAACAGGTATTCGGTCCGTAGCGTACGTAAATGAGTCGGAGCAAGGACTGGAACTTACTGAGACGGTGTATTCAGAAGT